CCCCAAAACCCCAAAACCCCAAAACCCCGGTAATCAATATTAGACATGAATATTAGGAGTGTTTATTGATTAGTAACTATATTATTAATATAATGGCTTGGAATATTTTATCTTTTGAGTTAGTACTCTTTGTATCAGTACTAACCCTATACATGAAACTTAGAAAAGGAAATATAATGTCCATGAAATTGGTCAAGGGACTTGTAACCTATGTACCCCCTGTAGATGCAGATTTTGATGTATTAGAAAAGACAAATCAATCTGGCAGAGAGAATAAGAAAGGAGAGATTAATAAATATGATAGGAAGAAGATATCTTCTAAGGCAAAGTTCCCTCTAAGGACTATAGAGATTGATGAGTAGTTCCTTAAGCACAATCAAGAATTTTTCGTTGAATATGACTTCTTCTTTATGCTATTTATTGTGATATTAGTCATGTTTATGATCACCTAGACTTTCAGAATCATACTTCCTGATTAAATGGAGAGCAATCTGACATTTTATATGATGTTGTTCCTACTACTTATGACTCTAGTAAATCTTATGAAGAACACTTTTAATCAAGGCTATTTTAATCTTAGTGATGAGACTAAGATGGAATTCCTTGTCGGATTTAAAGCATTCTTTGTAGTTTTTGGTTTATTAAAGTTTTACGGATCTCAGACCTTCTTTGATTCAAATATGGAAAAAGCTCATGACAAGACTTTAGAGAGAGTTAATCAGACAATGGAACTATTTGGTGGTAGATTGGATTTACCTTACGAATTTACCTATTCAATCATGGCAATAACAGCAGGCGTGATTTCATTTTCGACTGTTAAACTTAACATTAGATTTGCCTACTACTTTTTCATGCTTACTAGAAATAGAAGTATAGTCCTAGCTACTAAAATAGGGGATGAAAGAAGAAGATATAAGCTATTGCTAGCATTTATGTTCATTAATTTGCTCAGTCCAATCCTTATTATCCTGCTATTCATTTAGCCTCTCATTGAATAGTTTGTTGTACCAGAATACATGGTAGTAGAGACATGGAGAGTTATTAGAACTGGAGTATTAGTGGTGGCGGTTTGCTTAAGAATGATGACTTTTAGAGAAGAATTGCAATTCTTATTCAACGAATCCTACTTCCTTGTCTAGAAGCTAATGATTGACAAGAATGAAAAGCTATTCAGGTATATTAAACTAAGAATTCAGGAAAACTTCCTCAATACTTGGTATAACATCTATCAATAAACTTGCAATCTCATTCTTCCAATGCTTTTACTCTTGATTTACGTTCACAGGTTGGTCTCATCAATTCTTTCTACACAGTAATCAAATGCTCTAGACTATCAAAAAATATATACACGAATTACCGAATAGTAGAACTAGGCATCCAAAAATGGTTTAAAGTTTGAATTCAACATTTTTGAAGATACTACATCACTTTCAGAGGTTTTTGCAGAAATATCTGCTAAGGGTTTACTAACGTTGGACTTCTATGAGGCGATATTTGGCTTCATAATTTTCTGGTTTTTCTTTTCAAATTTCTTAGTTACAGTATTCTCTCTATTGTACTACCGCAAATATGTTAGTAAATGAGACTAGAATATATATTAACTTAATTCCATCAATATTTAACAAAATAAAGCTTATGGGGTTTTGGGGTTTTGGGGTTTTGGGG